GTAAGGAAAAGCTACATTTGCATGTATAAATAAGTAAACACAGTGAATATCTGCAACAAAGACAACAGAAGGAGCAACCAAACAGAAGCAGCTTGTTCTAGTAGTAACTCTGATTTCCTTCCTGAGTTTGGTATTCAGTTGGTGAGTAGCTGTCATTGTGTCTTGGTTCAGTCCCTCCAGTAAACATCATAGGAGTAGAACATTCAAAATTCTAGAGAGAGGAAAAAACCATTTCTGGCTGAGATGATCAGGAAAGGCTTCATCAAATAGAGTAGGGTAGGTCTTTAAGGGATAGTAGGTAGACGGAGGGACCTAGGGATTATCATTCTGGGAAAAGGAACAACAGCATAAATAGGAGTCAGGAAGAGGAAAGCATGTTTGGAGAACTAGAGGTCCAGATTGGATGGGATGTAATTTTTACTGTGATACTAAGAAGAGTTAAGGTTAAGTGAGATCTACCAATTACAAGTTAAGGAGGTTGGGTATATTTTCAGTGATAAGCCATTGACAGTTTTTGGTGCAAGGGATTAATAAAAAAGCAGTGCTTTTAGATGACTAATCTGTTGATCCCAAGTAGTTGTAGATCAGTGCTTCTTTTTTTCTAATAGCGAATTTGGGTACCATAGTTCCCATCATTAAGTTAGATAAAATTAAGTTAGATAAAATTTTTACAAATGTCCAGAAGCTGACTGACTCTCATATATGTCAGAAGAGTCTTTCTCTTTCTCCTCAGCATTTAATAAGAAAGTAACACTTACATAGTTTAAAGCTATCAGCAGGAAATATCAGGTCATGACTTAACATATAATTTTATGTAAAGCCTTATTAATGAGAAATTCTTTGCAGTATATACTTGGAAAAGAATGAAAATATGACCACAAATCACTTTTCACCTTGGTATGATGTTGGAAAATTTATTTTAAATACTTGAAAGGCTTATTTTGGTTTCCATGCTGACTTCAATTACTTGTAGATACAGATTCCAAAGAATATAAACATTACAGCGTTCCTCTGGAATTCCCATGGAGCAACTCCCAGAAAATGTCTATTGTAGATAGAATCTTTAATCTGTAGTATCTATGATACAAGATATATAAAATCACAAATTATTTTTAAAAACTTTATATTTTAAATGTGATTACTCATATTTTATGTTATCTGTGTGTGTATATCCACCAACCTTTTAAGTACTCAGTAGAGTCAAAGCTAGATTAAAGGCATTATTCACTTTTTTTGTCTACTCGTACATGAATACATTTAAAACTTTTTCCCCCATGGCAAAGTTCTAAGCTTTTAGAATGTGGTACTGAGTATACTTTAAAGAAAGTATTAGAAAGATAATACTTGAAGCTGTAAATATCATACTATGATGAGTACATGGTATGGTAAAATACCTAATTTGGAATAGGCCAAGTCTAAATTAATGAAAAATTGTAGATTGTTGCTTTTGTCTGGGTTTATTTTGAATTATTTCATATTATAATTCCAGGGTTCAATCCCTGTACCGGCCAGCCACAAAAACAAAAATTATAATGACTACCATCAAATAAAATGATACAAATTAATGACAAGATTACAAATTAAGTCTGCATTATGTTTCATGTAATCAAAATTCTTTAACATGTTTAACTTTTTAGGTACGATGAAAGTCTTACATTTCTTAAGCTTTTCCTATTATAAAGTTAGTAGTACTTGGCTTAGAGTAATGCAGCTTAATGATTAGAGTTTTAGTTAACCTTTGATAAGTTTATTATACATGGCCTTGAAGAGTGAAGTGAAATAGTATATTGACATATACTTTATAGTTCTACATTGTCTTAAAAATGACAGTAAAAGGTAGATTATGAAGGTGGCTGATGTCTTGCGATGGAAGCAATCTATAAAACTTCATTATGGAGAATTTTGAACACAGGCAAAAAGCTGAAAAGTATAATGAGCTTGTGTATAAGTATATATGGTATACTTATATATGGTATACTTATAAGTATATATGGTATATATTACAGTATAAGTATAATGAACCTGTTTCAACAATTAACTCATGTCTAATTGTCTTTAATTTGTAACTCCATCAGTTTACCACTTCTGTATTATTTTAAGCAAATTCCAGTTTATCATTGTAACATTTTATCTGTAAATATGTCAGTATATTTAAAAGATACAAACTTTTGTTCTATCATAATCACAAAACCATTGTCATACCAATGGAACAAACAAAAATAATAATCTTTAATAATTTCATCATATTCAATTACTTTTCAGATTTCCAATTGTCATGGATATCACAATTGTTTTTTTCCAAGTGTATTCATTTGAATCAGGATGCAATTACAGTCCACATATTGTAATTGCTTAATCTGTTTCTTAAGCCTCTGACTCTAGGTTTCTGCTTCATGTTTTTTTTCCTCTTGCAATTTATTGAAGATATAGGTTTGTCTTGCAGTTTCCCACAACATTGATTCTGCTGATTATGTTAGCACATACAATTATGTTCTGTGGAGTTGTTCATCATTACTTAATGACTCAAAAATATTTTTTACTGGTTTTAGAAAACTCAATTTTCTTTTCAAATATTGTTTTGACTCCATTTACCCCTATTCCTCTAGGATTCCAATTATATTTGCTAGGCTTTTTTGCTTAATTCCCTAAGCCTCTCATCTGTTTTCCCGTATTTTCTATCCTTTTGTCTCTCTTCATTCAGGGAATTTACTTCTAATCTGTATTATAGTTTATCAATTTTTTCTTCATCTGTGTCTAATTTGCTAAACCAATTTATAGAATTCTCAATTTCAGTATTTTTTTTTCAGTTTTAGAATTTTCATTTAGCACTTTTTTCAAAAATTTTCTAATATTCTGTGAAAATTCTCTGTCAGATCTTTGATTCTCTTGTATTATAAATAGTTATTTTAAAGCCTGTGTCTGATACCTCAATTATCTAGTTCCCCTGTTGATCTGTTTCTATATTTCATGATGTTAATTTCTCTCCTAGTACAACTGATGGTGACGGTGGTTGTTATCTTACGTGATAACATTGTATGTGAAAAACAGTAGGAATTACTTTGAGAGAGAATGATGTTATCTTCCTTCAGAAGGGATATATTTTTGCTTCTGGAAGATGGGTAGGGGTGTTTATGATCTTTAATCATTTTAATCCCAAAAGGGCTCGAGATCTTGAAGCTGGATTCTGTTCGTTTCTAATTCATCTTTACTCCGAGAGTGTAGCACTGTGTTGTGGGCGAGATCGTAATTCAGAGCCAGGAGTGCTTACTGGAGCCCTTTCTCCTTGGTACAACCTAACCTCATTTTTGTCTTGATTCCTTGTGAGTCTTTTGAAACCCCTGCTCAGTTCTGAACTATTTCATCAGCAGATGTCCCTAGAGGAAAAGCGACCCCAAATACTAGGCTCACCTGTATACATTTACTTCTCCACAGTCCTGTAATTTTTTAAATCTTATGGGAATGTGTACTATTCATTTAGTTTGCATCCTTCTAAGGAACTTTCAAATTATGTCTCACTCGCCAGTGCCTATTCAGTTGGGCTTTGGATAACAGTGCAAACATTTGGCTGGAATGAATGCCTGGCTCACCACTAAGGAAAGCAAATGTTCTGTGCTCTGCTTCAGAAATTAGAAATTGCCAGCTTTTATTTCTGCACTGTGACTTCCTCACAGAGGATCTTGTACATGCCAATTTAAAGTTTAAATTTATGCCACATGTGAATATGTGTACAAAATTCCCAAATAAGAGTGGAGAAAATCTCTTCTCTTTTCAACCATATTGAGACACCTCAAACAACTATGAAATGCACTTTTTCTTCCAGATTTCTGAAATATTTATCTAGGCTGAGACAAAGAATGAAACATTTTAGGCCAAAATACTTCTTGAAAATTTTATGATTTATGAGAGAGAGTTTTAAAAAATCTCTTTGGAGCTTTGAGCGTATGTTAGTATAGGATATCTTATTCATGGACAAAAAATTTAAGTCCATTTATTTACATAGGTGAAATAATTTAGATGTTTCCATAGTATGAGCAAGTTTTTCTATAATGTATGACTATTTCATATTTGTAGTTTTTTAGCAATGTTATCAGCTTATACTTGTTTAGGAAAGAGAGAAGTAACAAAACTTGCTGGCATTATTTTGAGTTAGTTTTCAACTTGTATTTATAATTTGCTATATATACTCTAGCG